TGAACCCTACACGCACACTGAAAAAAAGCTAGGAAAGCTCTGCACGTGCATATAAATGAAGATGGATGTCAGCTTTATTACAGAAAGGGGATTTTTGTCCTTGTTTTTACTAGAGGACACTTCTGTCTAACAGCGCATTTTCTTGCTTGGAAATTTTTTTCTTTCAAAGTACAATTTGCATAAGCATTAATATTGAGGACATAAAAATCCAAAGATAGAAAACATGAGGTTTGCATGTAGAGGGAAGATACGTAATTAGACCAGCCAATACAGACCAAATAAGCTTGAAAATAAAAGCACATACGGAATCCAAGCTGGCATGGAGCAGTCAGAAAAAAGCTGCCCCGTTCCCAGTTGTCCTTATCTTCGAGTTTGTACAAAGCGGCGTAACAGTCAGAAAAAAGCTGCCCCGTTCCCAGTTCCTTATCTTCGAGTTTGTACAAAGCGGCGTTTTCATCTTGAAAACAATTCTCCTGGCCAAGGACTGTGCGTGCTTCCCAGCCCTCAGCTCTGCACCATCAGGACATCGCGTCTCTCCTACTGGAGCCCTGGATGTCAGATCTCAAACACAAGTGATGATACTCCAGACCTTTAAACAACAGATAGATAGCTTCCTGGCAGCATACGTCCACCTGAGACCCTCCTGGGGATTTAATCCTAACGTAATATCCTTCCTACCATAACACAAATCAAGAGGTTTGTGCAAAATTGTGTTCTTTTTTATGGTGACTACAATAAGTAATCTATTAATGGCAGACAAATTAACTCCCAAGAATTACAAATTACCAGGCTTTATTGTACCTAACTCAGAACAAACATACTATCCCATTATTACAGAGAAGGCACATTTCTTACAATGCCTACCAGTTTTGTTGCAAAACTGGTTTTGGTGGCTTACATTTTTCTGATTTTTAACGTCAAATGTCTGTTTTCAGGAAAAAGTCTAGTAAAAAAAAGACATTGTTTTGCATCTATTCAAACACCTTGGACACATTACGAAAGCTCTGTTTGCTAGGGAATGATCTGAACTGTAGCAAAGAGGAGAATTTGCAAAATAGGAGTCTTCTGTTGCACCCATGAATAAACACCAAAACTTGGTGGTCATTTGTGCATTTAGATTCCTGCAACTGGACTTCTCTCCCCCAGATTTCAGTCAGTTCCTTCACGGGCACGCAGCAAGAGAAGGAGCAAAAGAGGACATGGACTGGCACACAGGCAACTCCAGGACCATCACCGAGACCACTGTTTCCACTCATGTAACCCCAACGCCCTCACAGTTGTGACATTCTGTGTACTCAATAGCACAAAGATGAGGTGGAAGAAACACGACAAGCATTCAGTTTGGGAGCACAGGCTGAGGTTGCGCGGGCAACTTAAACCTACACCTAAATTTGGGATGTGTGACTTTGTAATCTGTGTTTTCTCGATGTTGCTGCAGTTGATTGTGTTTTTACTTGAAAATATGACCACTTGAAGCAGTAAATACACATATCAGTATTATGCATATCTCAAAGGCCTGCCCTAAGTAATCAAACTTGTGCTAATTGTTACTGTGTTATTTTTTCACTAATTAGAACAAGCTTTTGTGGTACGAAAACAACAACATGAAAGACAAGATTTATCTGCCTCAGATCATTTAAACAATACTTAAGAATTCCACAACATATTTCAGCTTCAAAGTAGTTAAAAGTCGTTAACTAATGATTCCTTCCAGCAACCCTGCAAGATAAAGCAGGTATTTTTGCCATGTTTTTACCGATGGGGAAAAAGGAGACATTGCCATCCCTAGGCCATGCAGGAACCTGGGTGAACGAGCCAGCTCTGGAACATGGTAGCTTTTGGGGTGCCAATTCTGTCTGGTCAGGCCACACCTCTCAAATATTAAACACAGAGCCACAGGCAGAACCCTGATAAAAATAGCATGCAAGGCAAGGCAGCGAGTCCTTTACTTTCAGGCATTACAGCTTTAAATGATTAACTGTCAAGAGCAATCTGCATTTGTCTTGCTCCAGAAACACACTCTGTTGAGCTGTCATATGTAATAGATACAATATCACTAATTCACACTGCACTGTTTGTGCCACTTTAAGAGCTCACACCAAGGAGGTACCAAAACATAAAAATGCCAGTCCAGCCCCAAAACGAGCCTTGGTGTCTCATCATACGCATAAATGAAATTATTCAAACAGATAACCATCTTAACCCGCTTGCATAGCTGACACCCCAACTCTGCCAGTCTGTTGGCATGAATAAACGATAAACTGTCGTCAGAAACCGGACCTGGCCTTGCACACCACCTGTGTGTCGAGGGAGCAGACTGCAGTGCACCTTTTACCATTGGGTTCATCACATGGCAGAGAACACAGCAGCCACGGAAGCAGTCAAGCAACTTCCAACACAGCTGGAAAGCCGGTATTCTTGTACAATACAATTTATGACTGACTTAGTATCTAATATTTATGGTTTCGTTACAACCAAGAAAACAATCCATTTTGCTAAAGGAATCACACCCAGGAACTGATTTTCAGACCAAGGTGTAACAGACTGTAGTCGAACTCTATTCTGAACATATCCAGTCACCTTGAAAGCCAAATATTTAGAGTTGCCTTTTTTTTTTTGACCATTCTGGTATGAGATGTCATTTTCAGGTAAAAGCAACTTAAAATGCTGCAAAATAACTGCAACTGACATTTAAAACTTCAATCCTAACTGTATTCAGGGCCTTTGAAAGTACCTGGAAGAGAAAACAAGAGGGTGCTGGAGAGCAAGGGGAGGACACAGACCTAGTGGTTTAGGTTGCAGCTTCTGGTGGGTAGGGCTGCCCATCTTCCCCAAGAGTTAGGGAAAAACTTCAGCAGAGAAGAAAAAAAAAAAAGAAAAAAAAGAGGGGTTGGGTGGTATGCAGAGTACATCTTATCAACAAAGATAAATTGGAATATTGCTATAATACAGGGATAAATGTATCTTATTCACCACAGAATAATGAATAATTACCACCATTCCATGGAAAGTTTAGTTTATCCATACTCTCGAACTGATTTCCATGTGCAACAGAGGGAAAAAAAAGTTAGCATCTTACTATTTATACATACATAGTTGTAACTCCTCTCTTCTCATATTTGAGCAATTAAGTTACTGTAGCACCATTTCTAATTCCTGAAAAAATAAGCAACATTCCTGTATTTTCTGATACCTTGCAATTCACACAGGGTTTTTGCTTTAATTCAAATACATGGAACTTGCCTGTAACAAGCAATACACATCTTGTGTTGAAATTCAGAAAGCAAAGTGTATTGAAAGGCTGAGCTAATTTCTTCAATTTTAAAATCGCACAACACAGTGGCCTCATGGCTCTCACAAACCCCGTGAGCATTTTGAAGTCCACGCAGGCATGAACACACTCAGCCTATTGCAGTTAGATTCAGTGACACTTCAGGAAGGCAAGGGCTGCTGGATTTTAAGTGAAATCCAGTCAAGGTATGCCAAAACATTTCAGTGCCGGTTTGAGTTATGTAACTATGACTGAGACGTCAGGAGAACAGCATTTCCATTTCCAAGAGAGAAGGGCTAAGGCTATTGGTATGGTAACGCTGTCAACAGGCATCCTCAGCCAGAATTTAAAAGATACTAGAAAAAGCCCAGAGAAAAAAAAAAGGTTTTAAAGTATTAACTTTATTAATAAATATACATCCATATGATGATGTAAATACAGATCATGAACACTACTCCATTCCCATACACATAATTGCACACGAGTAGCTCAAGTTCATGGACATAAAAACATACACAGTATCTAATCAGGCTTTTTACAGCAGAGGACAGGGTGCTGATACTAGTTATTTAACAGGTTACTGTTTCCCCCAAAGTAAACCTGTGGAAAAGGAAATGATGAAAGATTAAATTATCAGAAAGTGGTTCAAATTTCAGAATACAGATTTTTCTATTTGAAAAAAAATCACAAGGAAAAAGGTCTAGTCTCTACTAAAGTCATAAATATATTTAAGCAGTGTTAAAATATATGCATTAGAGAATAATAAACTTTTGTGGTCAGAAATGAAGTCTGCAGTTCAAAGTATTTATGATTGTTATCAACTGTTTTAATTGTCAACTCTAAGGACAGCATGAAACATTATTATACATATAACAAAGAATAGCAGAGTCACAGCTAATGAAACCATCGGACAAATGACTTCACATTGCTCTGCCTTTTAAAGCTCTTCAAAAATGGGGGAGGGAGTTAAATTCTCATCTGAATTACTCTGTGTATTGTAGTTCCAAGTAATTCTTTTCACAGACACATCACTTTTCACTGACAAGGCTTGGTTTTGTCCTGACTGAACTCTCAGATCTTTCAGACAAAATGAAAATATATTTATTCAGAACAGAGATCTTTAATGGCTCTTGATACATAGTTATTTTGATTAGTTTAAACTAAATCCAAGATACAAAGAACATTGCTTTAATGACAAAGCTAACCACTGATTTTAAAAAATACTATCTTTGATATCAAAGTCAGCCACTTCTGATGGTATCTGATTTTCTTCTGCCAAAATAGGGTGCTAGCATCTTGAATATGTCCAGTGCAAGACTTTATAGTAGCAAAATTATTTGGTTTTAAAGTTTAAGTAAATTTAATCAGAAACTGAATAGTAGTTACTATATGAATATTAAACAGTGAACTTGTATAGCATCATTAAGGAATAATAGCAAGCTAATACATTTCATTTATGTATAAATAAGACATTAGAAACTTGATAATTAAAAGAAATTATTAAAAAACAAACTTGACATGTAGATCTTCTGAACAGTGTTAACACACAACAGTGATCTGAGCTTATGAATAGCTGAATTATGATATATAATATAAAATAAGCAATTTACCTTACAAGTAATGTTTTCATACTATGGGGGGAAAAGGCCAGTTTTCCCATTGGTACTAATAAAGTTTAGGCATTAACATGCTGTTTCAGTGTTCTTCATGGAAAGAAAAGTGTTGAAAAAAGCACAATGTATTCTGCAGATTATATATAGGAGAAGCAGAAGTATTTGAAATTCCATTTCTAGTTCACTTTGAATCTCTTCACTTCTCTTTTCTTCCCCTCACTGCATGGCACCAGTTAACTATAGTCAGCTCTAAACCAAAGCAGAGTTAGGAAAGGCCCAGCAGTGCACTTCTGGTCTCCTTGCTAAATCTGGAGCACCAAGCAGCCCATTACAGACTCTCTGAACACTTTTCTACTTTATGCTCATCATTTCACAACTGACAACGTTAATTGTTTTTTACTGGGATTATATTCCTTCTGATATAATTAATAAACACTGTAATGAATAGAAATTGCTTAGATGATTTCATTATTTCATCAGCATACTTGAATACAAAATTCATTATACTAGCAGAACAGCGATACATCTGCATTATCTCCTGACACACAGCACAGCACCACTGAGTAGATGCACAAGTGAGAAACGGAACAGGAGCAAACAGGATAAAGAGGAGGAGGTAAGAAGTGGAGTTTCTCCAAGGTACAGTGGTGACATGCAACACGTTCCTTGCCAGCGAGGTGTGACACTCCTGCAGTTATTACATTCAGCTGAAGAGGACTGCTTTCCCAGCTGAGTTCAGGAAAGAACTTAAAGCAGTCTTTTGTTGAAAAATCATCTGATTAAAAACAGCCAATACAACACAGATCCTGAGGGTGAATTAACTCACGTTAGCATTTTGCATGTGTCAGAAGTTACATCGTTCTGAGAAAGATTGCTAAATTTCAGACTTGCGAGTTTGTTGAGGAACAGAACGTATAACTGGATTTCATAGCTTCAGCATGAAGAGACTATTTTTTAGTAGCAGTTTAGCTGCCATTAGTTCATCTATCGACTAAGGAGCCATCCAGTATAGTTGAGGTTCATTGTCTTAGTTGCCAGTGCATACACAGTTCCCCCAAAACAATTCAACACACCTATTGTAAAGTACAGCATAAAGTCCAGCTCAATATGTGTTAGGCATCACTGGAACACCTGAAGGCTTGCTGCTTTTTTCCTGATAAAAAAGGTATGAAACATGACATCTGTTTCTTAAGTTGGCATCACTGAAATCAAGAGTTCTCATCAAAATGACAGCAGGCCAGAATAGCATTTATGTCAACAAAAATTATCAGCATCATTACTCATTCAGCACAAGCTCTATTAACCCAAATTTTTCTTCTCCCCCAAATCTGCAAACTCTATATATTCCCCCCCCGATATTTGAAGCTACAAATTTATCATAATGTCATATTATATATGTAACAACTTAAACTTTCTTCCAGATGAAAAAAAAAAAAAAGCTTTAATTCCAGTAAAATAAACTTAGAACAAACAATATGCAACATTGAGGACTGATTTTTTTGAAGTCTAGATTAAAGTATTTTATACACACACTCACACACTCTCTCACACTTAAAAAAAAAAATTAAACGCACCCAGTTGAAAAATGGAACATTTCTTTTGGAAGGAGTGAAGGCTTTAGTTTGAGTCAAGAAAGGTATTTATAGTTAACCAACAACATTTTTTTTCAGCTTGCATGCATAGATGAATTACTTTATATCTGGGGTCTAGCAGTGCAGTAAACTGCATCCTGTTTGCATCAGCTATACAGTTTGCTTTTATAAATCATGAAAATGGTGTCCTTTGGTAGATATATAAGCTTCCATAACTTAAATATAGTATAAGTGTCAAACAACGGAATAACTGTATTTCCAGGAATATCTGGCAAAACTAAGTCTGAAAACTTGGCAACAGTGTCTATTTAAAAAGTTTAATTTGTAAACATTATAGATTAATACTTTAAAAGCTATTAAACTGTCGCCACCTAAGCACAGGTTTTAAAGGCAAAACCCAGTGTAAATAGCTATTTACAGATTTAAGAACATACTGTTTAATATTAACCAAGTGCGTAACTAGAATGAACAGTACTTAACTTCTTATAAAATATTTCAAATTTCAAGGAATTATTTATGGTTTGGTATATGCACTATTAGGCATTTCAAAATTACACAGCAGAATCCTGTAACAGCATAACTAAAAGAACAGCTATCACCTAAAGGCAAATTAGCTTGTATTAATAAGGCGCTGTGAAGCTGTAACGCGCTGTACAAATTCTCGTTTTTCTCGTTAAGATTTTCAAAAATATTTTTGGAGCATTAGTTGAAATTGTCTTACTGCTACAACTCCAGAAACAAAAGCCACGTGAAATCAGCACTTTTTTTTTTAAAAAAAAAAAAAAAAAGGTTGGGGTTTTTTTTTTTGTTTTTTAAGTATCTATTTGAGGTCTGTAGAAGCTCCTGCAGAAGTAAAATGTAGCTTGCTGCTTTCTTTAGCAATTTTTATTTTCAAGTAATAACTCATCTGGCTAAGCTCCTTATTGTGAGATAGGCCACATCATGAACCAACAGCCAGCTAATTCTGTCCTCCATATTTCAATTATTTAATGCATAACCACACAACTAGATTTACCAGAAATTGAATGTAAAACTAGGGACATGGATGTTACTTAAGTATTGACACCAAGGCATATGCATCACTTCAGACTTTCTTATAAATTATGATTTAAACCCAACAAAAACCCCTTTAAACCAGTGCCTTCTCAACATTGTTTTAAAAGTTACTGAATTGCACCAGTAGGCTATGGCATTATTTGAATAAAAATAAAATCTAGAAACTCAGACTTAGGCAAACACTACAACAAAATGCAAGAAACATGCCAAAATTCAGAGTAAAGCGGATTAGTAAGAAGTTACTAATTCCCTCCTTTCATTCATTAGGCTGTTTGATTTTGCTACTAGTTTCACCAGCAGCATGTACTCCTCTGTTATGCACCATAGGATAGGGAAAAGCTGCACTGCCACAAGTATAACTTAGATTTGCAAGCCGTGATAGAGCTTTAATGCTACCTGGAGGTCTGCCTGGGCTGACTTTGTATCCTGCTGCTTTAGTTGTACCCAAGGGTCTGCCTGGACTTGTCTTAAATCCAGCTGCTTTGGTGGTCCCCAGGGGTCGACCTGTGCTGGTTCGGTACCCTGCTGATTTTGTGGTCCCTGATGGCCTTCCACGTTTACCAGATCGGTTGAGGTTTTTCTTTTTCTTTAGTTCATCTTTTGTCTCTATATTCCTCCCACTTGTGGTCTGCAAGTGCGATTCGTTCAATGCGTCTTGTCTCTGGCATGCAATTGGTTTGTGGCTGACTGCGTGGCTGTATTTACTTTGCTGCGTGGCATACAAGTCAAACTGATCAGCAGATCTCACATTGTCTTCGTTAAGGCAAGAACTCTTGCCGGTCCCACAGAAAGCTGTATTACTGCTGGCAACAGGGTGCATCATTTTCTACTAAAAATAAGAGAGACAAATATGTATCAATATATAAACATACTGCAGCATTCCACAAATTAGAATCTTTCAAAAGCTACCTTTATTTCTTAAAATGAATCAAAACTACTTTGTCTATTTGTAGTAAACAGTATTGATGTCAGTAACTTAATTTTTTAAATGAGTCACTTGAGGTTTTGCACAGTAACCTTTACACATAGTTAAAAACAACAATTTAAACCATGTATTATTCAGATAGGTATAATTAGGGAAGAAGTACGTTAAAGAACTGAACAAGAGCATTTCAGCAACCAAGATACCCAATATCTGCTCACCCACTGTGATTTCAAAACCTTTCTAACTGAACTGCATGTAAATTCTAGCCATTCTAGTTGCAAGATTAACCTATCACCTGTGAGCCAAGGAAAAATACGGTACCGCTCTCTTGAGTTAGTAGATATAGGCTCCTACAGATTTTTTAACTGCAGCAAATTAATAAAACACTTATCACTTTTGTCATTTCTCATCACAATTAATGTTAAAGAAATAAACAGGTAAGGCATTCAGCAAAGACAATGATGCCATAGTTGGGAAAGCAGAAATATGGAATGACTCTATTTCAAAGTACAAGGTGCTAGATTGCAGAAATGCCACTGCTGTTCTAGTTAGAAGCGCAGGTACAAGTCGCTGGTAATGCCAGCTCTGAGATAACAACTTTGAGAAAGACACCACAACTCCTGCTACAGACATGCACATTGTCACACATCTCCAAATATTCTAGAAAACAAACGTGGCCCATCAAGGTCAACAACTGTTTTATATAGACTGCTCTTTTTGTTAGACAAAACTAACTTGAGCTGTGCTCTGTTTACAGAGGTTTACATGTTTAAACAAGAATCAAAGCCCTATCTTCCGGACAGTAGGAGGGTGACTCTCACCTGCATGTTACTGCAGGCTGACCCCAGTTCCAATGCACGAATTGACATCCAGCTGCTAGAAACCACGTATGGTCACCGTCATAATTACAAGCAACTATTTCTAAGTAAATTGGTTATGCTTATATCCATCATAGCAAATCTCTGCTGCATATGTACTGGGGCAGAATCACGATAATTAACAATATTACTGGTATTCTAAAACTTTTTTAGTATTAGTGCTTCTAAATACCAACTGCACAGATACTGCCTCAGATTTCTTAGTAATGGTGATACCGTAAGAAGCCAGCAAGCCACTCAAGGAGCAACATGATGATATTTTCACTCATTCTACTATATTGGTTCTACAACTTAAATAAGCTGCAAATACCCAGTTTAAGATAATAACATTTAGCCATGCTGAAGACAAGATTAAGGCAATCACTGTCTGGCATGTCAGAGTATTTCTGTGCCCAACAGCCATGCTTAGGACACCAGCTATTTCTCCCTATGGTAAATTTCTCTAGTAGATAAGGGCTGGAAGATTTATTGTATTTTCCCTGCAGTAGCTATGGAACATCACCTACAGCAACCCAATTTAAATCCTACCATTGATTACTGAATTTATTTGGCAGTTATGAATGTCTCCTCCCAGCCAGCGAGAAAGCATACAGCAGAGATGGTCTGTTTACCCAGGAGTAAATCCCCGTGCTCTTTTCCTCTCATTCCCTCCTGTAACACCCAATTTACCTTGGCTTGTCAAATGCACGTTACAGTGTATGCATTACTCTTCTGCAAATATATGAATATGGGTTTATGTCAAATAGTGACATTATGATAGTAATATAGTTTGAATATTAGATGGTTCCAGCAGAGATTATCTGAGTGCTACCATTCCGGTCTGTTGAATGGGGTATAGTGGAACAAATGTGAAGCCACTGTTGTTGCTGGTGTTGACTAGCAAATGAAACAACTAATAATAATTTGCAAGCCTGTGCTTAGCAAAGAACAAAGTAAGCAAGCTACAGGTCAAGAGACCAGACAGTCTTTTCTGTGGAGCAATAAAAAGGAAGCTTAAGGTTTTCTACAATCAGCAGTCAAAAAAAATGTTACCTTCCTTTAACTCTGCTAGAATAGGGCCCACAATATCGCAAAAAAAACCCCCCACCTGAGATTTTTCATTATATGTAATTGCAAACACGAGGTTTGATAATGTACTTTTGCTGCCGAGAGAGTAAGCCCAGCAGCTCTGAAAGGCTATTCATCTGTTTGTTGATACACCAGAGGACACTTGGAGTGGTTAGCAGCATTCTTGTCTTGGTACTCACTTTAAAGGCAGGAATACTGGCTTCAGCCCCAAAAAGCCGCTCCAAGCTCAACTGCCACAAAGAAGGATCAGTTCAGCTGCCCAGTATCCAAGGAACACACCAGAGCAGGGAGAAGGCACTGAATAAAGTGGGGGCCCCTGGTATTTCTCAGGAGACCAACCACAGCTCAGACTTGTTCCTGTCTATGTTACATTCTTTTTCTCTGCTTTTTCTCCTCATCGCAGGCAGGGGGATATTTCCTACAGACACCATCCATCTTTCCTGGGGAGAACCACTGCAGGTACTCCTAGACAGGGAGTATCCTGCTGTAACCAGCCCATACTGGAGCCTCATCACCATATGCATGTGTTTTGTGTCTACTGGAATATCCCCGAGAGCTCTCGACAAACACTAACTTCAGGTACAAAACCTGGCTGATGCTTGTTTACCTCTCATCTGGCAACAGCCAGTATCACTGTAATTGATGAAAGAAGAAAGACGTATGGATCAGTAACTGTTTAAAATTTCTTACAAGCGGAGACTTAAAAAACCCCCACAATCTTGGTGGAAGACTGCCAATGGGATTTTTTTTAATGCTTCCCCCCCACCACCGTTTTTCATCAAACCGTGAAAATTTCAAGTATTACCCAAAGTTCCTATTCTGTGTTTTTTGGTTTAAGTCTTTTCTGGAAAAGTTTTAAAAAGGAAATCTGTAATCGAGCTTAATTAGCCTAAAATGGACATCTCCAGTATAATTTTACTTCGTTCACGTTACAGTGGGGAATAAAAGAATGTAGTGAGTCTATCTGTAGAGTGAAAGCAGGTTTCTTGGCAGGGAGATATAGCATATAAATGAGAATTGGTATAAAATGCAAAGCTATGCCAATTTAAAAATCACACTCTAGCGCAATTGTATAGCCAAACACATACAACGTTGTGTGCAAGCATTCTTAAATAAAACCAGCCAGAAAAGTTTTCAGCGAAATAGAACTTACTTGTTTTGAACCTGTAAACAGACATGTAAAAGGTATTTGCAACCATTTACTTAAATCAATTTTTAAACTGATTCAACTGACTGGCTGAACATCTCTGTGTAAGAAAATAGTTAGGATGAGGCATTGTAGTAATGAAATTTAGTGAGTATTTCAAGAAGATTTTTACTGGAAAGCAGCTGTAGAGGATTTTCTGTATGGACCCTTTTCTATCTGGTAATTTATTTCTGTACAAATGCTTTAGCTCCACCGAGGTGAGTTTGAAGTTTTGTTTTGCTCAGATGACAGCCAGGCTACTGAGCAGTCAATACATGATGTATGAGGCTGCTATTAATATTTTTTTTGTATTTCACAGTCAAGCTTGATATTGTTTGCTCTCTTCTGCTGGGAGATGAAATAGAAACCTTATTATAGGCAATACAGATGCAGCACGAAACTTAAGAAATTTTACCTAATTCCAGTGATATCATAGGTTTTGGATAGACTGAGACAGTGCATCCTTGCACCCCTAAATACAAGTTAACACAGCACACAGCTCTAGCTTACAACTGCTAGGGCTTCTGTCACTGGTATGGCCCATCTCTCTTCTAGGCTTGCAACTATGCAAAAAAGCACCACTCACATCTTTTTCACTACACAAGATTTTAAGACCAAAGCTACTCAAATCACTTTACATAAAAACACCCTCTTGGGTTGGGATGCACCCTTCATGGGCAGAATTTAGCTGCCAGCATAGACAAGACGAAAACTTTGACAGAGAAAGTATGCAAGCCCCTCGGAACAGGCACTGGTTCAGTAAGTATTTTATACTGAGTACTGGATCTGTGACCCATTATCTGCATTAAGCAGAATAATCAATTCCAACACAAGAAGCAGGTGACTGCTCTGGTCTTGCCCACCCCAGCCTGCTTTCTGTAACTACACCTGGTTAGCACCAGAACAGACCCGACTCAGCAAGCGCTTTTGACTTCTGGTAAAACACACTTGAATCAGAGCAAAACTGAACAAAACTGGAAGTACATCATCTATATTACAGCTTTTCAAATGACAAATACCAGGAAAGGTATTTGTCCCCCCATCGCCAACAGGGACAATTTTGCTTTTAATGAGGGTTAGTATACAAAACCCACTCATTTTTTCTGAAGTTTTCCACCACCAAGCTTACAACTATTTCAACAGTATTGATGGAGCTGTAGGAGACTGCAGCAGTATTATCATCATCATCATCCTCCCACCTTGCTTACAGCCAGTACGTACAAAGTAAAAGACACAGACATACTTAAAAACACAAGCAGCTACAAGTATTATTTCTGTGCTAGTACTCTGAACATCCCTTCTACCAATTAAAACCGTTGGAGTGGAGCACAGGACCAGCTCTGTTCAAGATCTCTGCATAAAGAACGCTCTATGCCGCGTACGACAGCACAGAAGCTGCAGGCCCTGGGGAATACCAAAGGGCTCATTTTCTTTGCAGGGGGGAGTTTAAGCAGCAGCGATACTTTCCCTTTCAAGATTACAACGAAGATATGGTATTGGTTCTGCTCTTCCCTCTTAGGATAGTGGGTGTGAGAAATACTTTCATCACTCAGTCAAAAGAATGAATTATATCGATTTAAATGTTTTTTTAAGTGTCCCTTTTATCGTCACCTCCTTTTCGACACGTTAACTCTTGTTAAAGTAGGGCCTTACCCAATTTTTAAAAAACCTGTAACTGCTTGTTTTCACAACGTTGCACCTTACCTTGAGTACTCCCATAAATGTAAATCTTTTAAAAATACTAAGTAGGAAATCCTATCAGTGGC